AAGACTCAGTAATTTTCTTTTTTGGTTAGAAAACATAGAAGTTGATTAATCTTTTTAAATTTTATTTTATTTATTTTATTTTTAAAAGAAAGTATTGAGTTTGCTGGGTATATTTTAGTGGGGTTTTATAAATTTTATTTTGGTGTTCTGTTTTGGTTTTCTGACCAAATGCTGAGTAAAGTAGCATTAGGTTTTTAAATCTTGCACATTGCGTTATTAGGGTAACAATATTGTCTAATTATAAGACATAGGTCACTGACTGATGTAAAGATCAGGTGAGGGGAACTACTCTATATTGTGAAGGGGAGAAATTGTGCTTTGCTACCTGCATTTAATTTCTCTTTCCTTCACTCTAAGGTTCTTGTCTATCTGTTTTATCCTCTCTAGGTATAAAAGACTCAGCAGTTTCAGGAAATAAAATCAGATGTGATGGTTCATTTCTCTCATAGAAAGATGAAAAATCTTGTTGTCAGCAGAGGGAGGTTGTGGTCAGACCAGGAGGGCAGAATGTCTTTGTCCTCAGCGTCATTTCCTTGGCCGATGACCACGGGGTCACTGTGTCTTTAATTAATATTCTGGGCTTGCCTATGTAATTTTTAATACCAGAAGTACAAATGTTCCTTTTGCCAAGTGTTTAATTTTTTGGACAGGAGCCTTACCTTGAAACCACCTAGGAGAAGCTTTGACTGCCAACAGGATGAATCCCTCCAGACTCCAGGAACAGCAATGTCAGGGAATAACTGATCTGAGCAGGTCACTCTGGACTTTACAGTCAGTGGAGGGCTGCCTTAAAAAGTTTAGGATAGGATTATTCATTTTCTCATGGAGAGAACTGGATTTAGTGAAGTTAATCATAATGAAAGCTCTGCTAGTTTAAGAAGACCTCCTTTACCTACAGGGGTACCTGGACAGCTGGTTCTTGGTGTGGACAGTTGAGATAAATCCCAATATTCTGTGATTTGATTGCTGTGCTTTGTAGAGAAGTAGGGGTTTATTACAGATGTGGTATTTTTCTGTGAAAATCTGTAGAATCCAGGTCTTTTGTCTTTCAAAATGAAGACAATATATGCCACAATATGCTTTTGAAGGCACAGTCGAAAATTATTAATACTGCACTTACCCTTTTTTAAACATATGTGTTGATTTAGAATCTTTCTTGAGTTGTAAGAATTGAGTCAAGCAGTTGGAGGGGAATGTACTGGGTTAGAATAAAATTAGACTGTCAATTGTAGATCCATAATAGAAACCATGGTGCTACCTTGGCCACTCTGCCATTAAAATCCCAGAAATAGTCCTGATGAGTTTTATTCTGCTCTTGTAATCAGACTCTGCAGTGCAGTTGACTGGAGTCTTAAAATACTTGTATGGATTGAATAAGAGGTGCAGAATTACAGGGATGTGCTCTGATGTGCCCAAATGATTTCACCATCTCTGGACGTGTCACCTGCTGTTCAAGTAATGGGAGGAAAAGTAACAATTGAGTCATGTTGGTGAAATCAGAGATTTTATTGGAAGGTTTAGATGGCCACTAAGTGCCCTGCTGAAAGGATTAGGTGGGATTTTTTCCCACTTGGTGCTTGCTTTACACCCAGGTGTAAATGTTAGCATGGAATAGAATATTTCAGTTGGAAGGGACCCACGGTGATCATCTAGTCCAACTGCCTGAGCAGCTCAGGGCTTGCTAAAGGGTTGAAGCATTCAGGTCATTGATAAATACATTGAACAGTACTGGCCTAGGGCTGATCCCTGAGGAGCACTGCTGGTGACAGTCCTGAAGCAGCTGGAACCTCTTTGGGCTCTGCCCTTCAGCCAGTTTGTCACCCAGAGCACCCTGAATTTGCTCACCCCACAGTGGGGACAACTTGCCCAGAAGGATGCTGGGAGTACCAAAAACCTTACTAAAAGCCAGAAAAACTAAATCCTCTTCCTCCCCTTAATTCCCTGGGCAGTTGATCTTATCACAGATAGATATCAAATTAATTAAGCTTGTGTTTACACTGTCTGGCAGATGTATTCATCAGAAGACCCTCAGCAGCACCCACTGTAATCCTCTCCATATTTTTTTCCAGGAGCTGAAGTCAAACTAACAAGTCTGTCCTGATTTTGGCTGGGATAGAGTTAATTTTCCCTAGTAGCTGGTGCAGTGCTGTGTTTTGGATTCAGTGTGAGAATAGCATTGATAACACACTGATGTTTTTGGTTGCTGCTGGGGAGTGATTATTCCAAGTCAAGGACTTTCAATTTCCCAGGCTCTGCTGATGAAGAAGTGAGTGGGACAGTGGCCCTGAACTGGCCAAAGGGATATTCCATACCATGGGACATCATGTCCTGGGGGATGTTAGCCAGGAGTCAGTGGTATTTTGGGATGTGCTGGGCATGAAGTCAGTGACTGGTGACTTGTGCATCACTTGTTGTCTCTCTTTTTATTATTTCCCTTCTCATTATATTATATATTATTATTATAATTATATTTTATTAATTATTAAGCTGCTCTTACCCACTTTTTAACTTTTCCCAGTTCTCCCCATCCCCCTGAGCAAGGGGCTGTGTGGAACTTAGTTCCTGGCTGGCATTAAACCACAACACTTTTTGGTGTAAATTCTTCTCGAATTATTTTCTGCACAAGCCGATGTCTCTTGCAGATAGTTTAATTACCGTGGATTATTTTAGGTATCATATTGATGACATGGGTGAGCAGAAGGAAAGGGAATGGGGTTGTCATGACTACTGTGATTTTTAAAAAAATTTTGTGCTTCGATTTAAAAATATTTTTATCTCTAAATTTTTAGGGATAAGTAATGTCCTTTGCAGATTGTAAATTACTGGTGATACTTCAGACTCCAGTAATTCTAGCAGAAGCAGTTTTTCAAGACGTTTTTTCCTGGAAATCAGAAAAGGGTGAAGAGAAAGAGCATTCTCTTGGCAACTTATATAAAGGAAAACTGGGTTAGCTTAATACTCATGTAATAGTTGAGTATAACTTACTGTGGTGCTCACAAAAGGGCATGATTTGTTTCAAATCAAGTGATTTTTATATAGAATTTCTGTAGAAAATTTTTTTTAATGCTGGTAATTTTTGCTTGAACTAGTAAATTCCTGCAAGCTTGCAGCTACTATTACTAACAGTAATTTCATTGTTTTATTTAAATCAATATAATTATTTTTCCACGAGGAGATCTTGCAGTACTCATGCCTTGGTTGTGGTTAGGAATGAGTTTTTCTTGTGGAACTGATTTAGGCCTTTAATTATTTTATAGCAAAGGGAAAACTGATGCAATTTTTAGGTATTTTCAGTCATTCAGAGGGTAAATGAACTTCTTTGTGACTAATTAAGTAAATATTTCTCTAATGCACAAGAGTGGGTGTCTTTTGTGTTCTGGGTGTGTTCATTCTTGACCTTTGCATTACTTGGACCATAAACGGTAATTCAGGGACAGAATTCCAGTGTTTTCAGCATTGATCAAGCAGGGATCCTTCCAAAGTGAACAGCTTTTAAAAAAGAGAAAAAATATTCTTGCATTTTTAAAAATATATCCATTAAAAAAAAAAAAAAACTACCAAAAAATAAACCCAAAAAACCAGTCCTTGCTTAGATTATCCCTAAACATACATATTTATGTGATTATTACCTACACAGTTCCCTCCTGAATTTGATTGATGCCTCTGGCCTCCTTTATGTGCTTGCTCAGCGACAGCAGTGTCTCTGCTCTGATTCCCAAGCTGGTTTTAGCTCGGGTTGGTGATATAACCAGATCAGTCCAAGCTGAAAATGGGTTCATTTGTCCTGTTTCTCAGCCCTTGCTGAATTGCCTGGTACATGAGTAGGCTGCCACTTGTCCCCCTGGCTTGCTCAATCTTGTTCTTACAGTCTGGCAGTCAGTGTTGGAATTAAACTGCAAAAAAAAAAAAAAATTATTCCTCAGTCATCCTTTGGTTGCTGGTATCTCTTAACTGGGTGGTTTTGTGCATGTACTGGAGGCTGATAATTTCAGGTATTAATTTTCTGAAAGACTGAAATGCTTTTTATTTTTTTTTGCTTTGGGTAATTAGAAACAACACAGATTTTTTTTTTTTGGTTTTTTTTTTTTGTGAAACCTAGTTAATATTATTGACTAATATAAATTACAGGATGAGGAATCTAGCAGTGGATTTTTATGCTGTGACGTGCAGCTCATTCAGCTGAGGAGCTTGCCTTAAATCCCACACCTGAGCTACTTAAAGGAGCAGATACAAACAGAGATTGTGAATTTGCAGGAAATATAAAAGGACTTTAAAGCCTCGTGTTTCTTAAGATATTTCTGTGCAGAGTCTTCCTTTACAGTTGGTTTTTAAGGTGTGTAAAGCCAGAAGCATCAGGTGTGAGAAGTGATGGGCTTGGCTCTCCTAGCACTGGATTCCCATCCTGTGTATCCATGGCTGTTCCTGACCACTCTTCCCCAATCCACAGTCTGTCTCTGCATGCTGGATTTAAAAGTGCAGTTTGCCCATGGTGGTGACAAATTCCACTTTCCTGGTCACACTGAAAGCAGGAGAGAATTGGAAGAAAATCCAGATTTTCCCCCCTGCTTGTTTTATTTCTACTTCTCTGACAGGTGTTGCTATGTGTGTCAGGGATCTTGTAGTTAAACGAGCACAGTCTTTATTTTAAAGTGAAAATAGGATTTTGGCAGCACTGGAAAAAATGCTCCTACTTGCCCTTAGCGGATTGTTTCTTTCCAGGGGGTGTGTGTTTGTGACAGAGGCTGGAAAGGAGAGGGATAAGTGTGTGTGGGCACTGGCAACACGCCACACTCTTCAGGCCATGCTCTGTATCATCCCTCCCTTCTCCCAGTGCCTTGCAGAATGTATAGGCTCAGCTATACAAAATAATACATTTATTTCAAAAATTGTGTTAAATGAGCTCATCTCAGTCACTCAGCAGTTATGAAATCCTGCCAAGTGCTACACGTCTTGTAAATTTAGAGGGGTTTTTTTCTCTTTTTTTTTTTTAATCTGCAAAGGATGAAATACTACACAAGTTACTGAGGCAGAGAGAAGGCATCTTCCTTCACCCATAACATACTGAGGCACGAAGAACGATGCTGAAAGCCAAGGTTTCTGGTTTGACCCTCCTCATCAGAGCTCCTGAACGTGAAGATTCCTGACTCACAGAAGCTGTCTGCTCGTGGCAGGCAAAATTATCATTTCTTGCACTCACAGCTGAGGGTTTTGATGGGGTTGGTGACCAGCTCTAGCACAGCACAGCTCCTTCTTCCTTTTCCTTCTCCTTTTCCTTCTTCATCACCAGCTTGGAACCAGGAATGGGTGAGACTTCTGCTGCTTCCCTCCTAACGAGGTACGAATTCCAGATCAAATGTTAAGAGCTGCTTGTTTCTACGTGAAGAAATCAGATTCAACCCCTGGATCTGTTCCAAGGAGGGATATCATTACGTTTGACTCTTGTGTTTGAAGCTGTTAAAGCCTGCTGATCTGACACAGCTAGGGATGGAACTAAAATATATCAGCGTTTCGGAGATGGGAGGCAGAAGGAACTGATGGGTAATTTAGTCTGACATTTAGGGTGTTGCAGGTCATTACATGTAACTGTTACTCCCTGTTTTGAGCTCAGTAGCTTATGTTTGATTGAAAAATTAACAGGCATCTGCTGAAAATGCTTTTCAGAAGCAGGCTGGCTTATTTGGGAGTTACTTAGACATGAGGATTTCAATATCTCTCGTAGTAATTTGTTCTATGGGACAAACAGTCTGTGCTTGCTTCTTTTTTTTTTTTTTTTTTTTTTTTTTTTTTTTTTTTTGTTTTTTTTGCCACATTTATAACTTGGATGTGCCTAATTCTACAACATAGTTTCATAGAATTTTAAGCTGACATAAACCAGCAGAATTGCTGAAAGAAGCAGTCAGCATCCCCCAGTTCCTGCCTGGATACCCCTGCTCCTGGCATGGCGCTCCTATAACCATGGGTGAACCCACTGCAGAACCAGCCACAAAAGCAGCAAAATCAGACTTCTCCAGGGTCAGTACCAAGGTCTAGATCATGGCACAGCTGCATGAAGGGGAAGGAACAGTCAGGGATGAGAAATGGGTACAGGTGGCTTCAGCAGCAGGTGGTGAAACCATGGAGTTGCTGTCAGCTCTTGGTTCTTGGCCTCTTCCTGGTGGGAATGTTGTTGGTTCTTGGCCCTTTTCTGATGGGATTAGTGGTGGTTGTGTTGCTTGGCAGCCAGCAGCATCTATGGGTTTATCCTCCTGGTGTTAAACACCAAAACTTCACAGCCAGGTGTGCGCCACAATGCTGGAATGCAAAAAAATAATTATTTGATGTAGCAAAAGCTGTTCAAGTGTTATCTAGGTATTAATGTTTACTTTGTTGTTGAGTTTTTAGTGTCTGTGTTGTAGTAATTGGTAGCTATACACAAGGGAAAAGGGCTTTGGATTTGCTGGAGGGCTTATACAAGGCAAATTAGTCTGAGTGTTGGCAGGTAGAATGTGGAAATTCTCAGGATGTGATGGCTGTTTTTAGTAAAGATTTTTTTCAAAAAATAAACTCTGCTTTAAAGACACAAATTGATATTTATCTTGAGACCAGATGTTGAACAGTATTTAGTGCTAAACCAGGTGACCTTCACACTAAATAATTTTGTTCTCTCAACTGAATGAATATTTCTCTTAGGAGGAGAGCATTTGGTAAGAAATCTCTGTGCCAGCTCTCATGCTCTTAATACTTTATTGTGGTTTATAATAAGAGGAGAGCATCTTCAGCCTGTAAAAATCTGAGATGTGCGTCATACTAATGTGGTATTAGTTTGTTGTGCTTCCTTTGTAGTCTGAGGAGGGTGAGGTTTTCTGAGATAAGAGGAGGAAAGAGCTGAAACTGCAAAGAGAAGGATGTGAGGACAAGTCAACCCCAGCAACAGAGGATTGTGCAGTTGGGGCAAGGGAATGTCTGTCACCACAAAACACTGTGGAGTTATGAACTAGAAATTCAGAATATGCCCGTCTCCTGGAGCATCACATACTGATGTTGTTCTCTATAGATGGAAAAAGATTTTTTTCCAGATACTGCTGCAAGTGTTGACTGATCGGTTTTTTTAGTACTGTCAAAATAATTTTTGTTGTTTTCATTTCAGTTTACCAGTAACTCTTACTGTAGTGAAAGTTGTTACGTAAGACTGGCCTGTATTTTCTTGCCAAAAGACTCCAGTATTTTTTTAAGCAACGGTGCTGATTGGTTGAAGCACAAAGTCACTGTTCACCACCCTGATTCCATGTCTCTCCAGGTAGCACAGAGCAAAGCTTCCTTGTATTTAAGACTGAAAAGTATTCAGTATTCTTTTGAGATGGATTTGGTTTTGCATAATTTGTGAATTACTTCAGCAAGAGTTCGCCTTCACAAGTTTCAGCTGTACAGATCTCATTTTAACCATGGGAACTGCTGAATTCAGCTGTACAGGCTTGTTTTGCACAGGAATCTTCGTCCCCCTTCCATTTTTGTTTAGGAGCTCCTGGCAGCCCAGGTCATCAGAGCTGTTGCCACCACTTATGTGGAAACCCTTTCCCTTGGGATCTGATCATGTGTTCATTCAACTCAAAAACATCTTTTAAAGGGACCGTCTGAATTTGGGCTGCCTTCATTGAAGCTTCTCAAAGTTGCCTGGCCACGCAATCCCAGGGATTTTCTGCTGCTGTACCTTGGCAGTGTTGGCTTCGTGGTTGGACTTGCAGGTCTTTTTCCAACCTAAATAATTCCGTGATTCCCTTCTTCAGGTGTTCTTGCTGTTACTGACTAAGCATACAAACTTTAATACCTTTCCTGCCTGTTTTACTTGCCTCTGTACTTCATTTCTGGTTGGTGTCTGATCCTGAGTAGTCCTGTCCCAGGCAGTGCCTTGTGTCCTGATTATATTTTTACCTGTGTTTTGTAAAATCTTCTGGTTGAATCTGTGGAAAAGCTTGCTTGGCTGAAATTTTTCTGGCAACCTGCATTATTTATAGGGGAAATTACCATATTTTTCATTTAAAAATCTTACTTTAGGTTTTTATTGAAGACAGCAAAGGTGCCTTTTATGGTTTTTTTTGTTTGTTTTTTTTTTTTTTGTTCTGGTCTTTTTTTTTTTTTGTGAAGGTTTGTGGGTTTTTTTGGTTTTTTGTTTCTTTTTTTTTTCAACATTTGTTCCAGTGTTCATTGTGCAGATGTGTATTATCCTAGTAAAGCTGTAAACTAGCCAAGCTGTGCTGATCTTCACTGGAGGTGGAATAGTTTAAAGAAGGCTTTGTGGTCTGCTTTAGTTGTGTATACTTCAAAATAATTTAAGAGAAAGGTGCTTTTTTATTTACCAAGCATTTGCAAGTAAGCCTTAATAACCCATCACAGCAAATAGTAAATAATTTTCTTTACAACACAGGGCCTCTTTTTTCTGAAGAGATGGGATTCTTGCCAGCCTTCAAAGTTTTCAGAAGATTGCTCCTATTTTCTCCTTATTATGTGTCAAATTGTAAAACATAAAAAATTGTTGACAAGCTTTAAAATAAAAAAGATATCCAAGATTGACATCTTTTGCTAAAATACCATTTAACTTCTTTTCAGGTAGAAAATAATGGCTATTAGAAGAGAAGATCAGTAAACGATGCTGAAATAGAAGTTTTTGTGGGTTGTTTTGTTTTTTTTTTTTGGTTGGTTTTTGTTTTTGTTTTGTTTTTTTGTTTGTTTGTTTTTTGTTTGTTTTTTTTTGTTGGTTTTTTTGTGTGGTTTTTTTTTTGTTTTGTTTTTTGGTTTTTGGTTTTTTTTTTTAAGAAAGAATCTTAAATGATTAATTGCTTCTGGAACCTTAGTGCAGTGGCTTTGGAGTTTTCCAAAGGGGGCAGTGGGACTCACTCTCAATGCAGTTCCAGTCTGCTGTTGTATCTATGGCTTACTACCAGTATATATATATTTCATATATACGTATATAGTATTCAAAACATTGAATAAAAATGAAGTTTTGTACTTGGTTCAAGCTGTCTGGGTGCCTTCTGGGGATGTAAAAGTACAGTTATCAAGGAAACATCAGTTTTCTAGTTGGCCAAAAAAGGTGGTTGTGGTTGTGTATCACTTCTGTGCATCAATTCTGAAGAATTTTTAAAAAAAACAACAACTGGAGAAACCAAAAGCTTAAACTAATGGTCATCTGCCTATTCATTGAGCTGTGACTGAAACCAAGAACAGGGCAAAGAGCTTTGCACTAAGAAGTCATGGCTAGAATGTACCTGACATGAACCAAACAGGAAATTCTGCAGAGAAAAAGGGGAAATAAGAACTTGGATCTTGTTAATTAAAGTTTTGGCAAGCTGACCTTTTGGGCCTTTTTGAAAACTCCAGTGTGGGATGCATCACGACTGGTGTTTGAATTTCGTGTGTCTTTTCTGACCACAGTGGGGGAAAATGTGTTTGCCATCAGGTGCAAGTCTCTGGTAGGAGGAGATGGGACATTCCATGAGAGTATCTGAGGGTATTTTTGGGAAGCAGCTTTTTGGAGGATGGGATAGATAGAGACTGGTCAGAAAGGAGCCTTTGACAAGAATGGAGACTGAGGAGGGCAAAACCAGCAGTCTCTGGAAATGTTCAAACAGGGAAGGAAAGACTTATTTCAGGGATGCAGAGGGATTTGTGAAATTAGGTTGTTAATGGATTGAGAACAAGTTCGAAAAAAAAAAAAAAAGAAACCACAATGGACCAGGGGAGTTACTTAAAAGTCTTTTATTCATCTTGCTTTTAATTTTACTATTCACGAGTCCCATGTTTTATGTATTTTACTAATAAGACGGAGCTCTGGAGTTTACAGTGCTTTTAGTGTTGAATGATGCTCATTCTGAAGGAGGGAGCAGAGCTCCTCCATCACTCTGTGACTCAGGGTCCCACAGCAGGGGTGGTAGAGGCAAAATGTGAACCTTGAGGCAGCCCTGCGCCAGGAGGCTGGAAATAAACAAAAAACTGTGTCCTCTCAAGGCTGAGACAGAAGGTTTTATTTGTATTTTGAAAAGTCAGTCATTCTTCCACACAGTTCTGGAAAAGAGTGGCAGAGTGTGACATCCCTTTCTTCCAAGGGTTGGTCAGAAACTCAGCTGGTGGAGCTCCATGTTGATCCAGGTGTGAGATGAATGAATGTTACAGAAAACAAAAGGAAATCCAGGTCTTTCACTAAGTTCATCCCATGACTCCCATGCATAACCTTTATATGAAAAGAGAGGAAGTCTAAGAGCCCAAGAATCCAGACAGATCACCAGACAGGCAGAGATTAAATTGGGATTAAGAAGTTTGAGCAGGAGGAGCATGGCAGAGATAAACCAAAGCACAGGTGGGGTCGCTCACAGAAACAGAATGTCTGAAGAATATGTGTTAAAATGAGCATACTTAACATAAATACATTGTATAGAAGTTTCCAAAATACATATTAAAAAGGGAAAAAAAGCTAGCAAGAACTCTCTTACAATCTTTAAAGTTATTTACTTAGTCTGAGATGATGAGGATAGGGAAGAGATGCAGTGGTTTCATCACCTCCTATAGGTGAAGACTTCAGAAATCAGCTTGTTGAGGCATTCCTGTAGAAAAATACAGGATTTAAATCAAGTTGGAAGAAGACTTGCAGCACAGCTTTTGACTCAATCTCAGGGTGATACTGCTCTGAGAGCAAGGCAAATGAAAATGGCAGGCATTGGTGCCTGTTGAGAACTGGATGCCCTGGTTTTCAGAACATCTCAGTGGGTTGAAAGGACTAACACTGGGAAATTGGTCAAGCACCAGATTTGGTCTGAGACAAAGTTCACCTGTCTGCCCTGTGAGAAAAAACAAAATGGGATCATGAGTGCAGAGTGAGGGTGTGCTTGAGAGTACTGTTGAGATGCCTGAGGCAGGGATGAAAAATCCACCTTTCCTCGGAGGAAAGAACCATCTGTGATAAAAGGGTCATTTTGAGGCTTTTGGAGACTTGGTTTGCCAGAGACACTTGAGGGAACTGGGGCAGAGGAGAGGTTTTCTCCTGCATTAGCAGGACATGCAGGAGGTTATAGCTGTAACTAGCAAGAGGAGAACAGAGAAAATGCTCTGGATTTTCCACTGTGTTTTAGAATGCCACTTCTGCAGGAAAAGATCCCCAAAAGATGCTTAACAAACCAAATCTCATGGGCTGAAAAGGAGGCATATTTTCCCTTCCAAAGCATGAAGGTGGATGGATGGATGGATGGATGGATGGATGGATGGATGGATGGATGCATGGATGGATGGCAAGTGTGCCCTGGGCTGGTGGGATGAGGGAATTGGGGAAACTCCTGTTCATCCTAAATTGAATCCAGACAGGATTAAACAGGTCTCACTTCTGGAACTGCTGAGAATGAGGGAAAGAAAATGCCTGGTTTTGTCATGTCATTTTTCAGAAAACTTTTTCATAAATGGGAAAACGAGGTGACTGGAAGAGGTGTGGAGCGGGAAGCAAGAAAGGGAAAACTGTGGGACCCACCAGGATTTGCTTTGTCCTTGGTAGGATTCCGTGACAGAGAGAAAGAAAATGGTTTCAGATTGTAACTTTTAGTCAAGGAAGTGATTGAAAAAGAGATTGAAAGAGAGAAGGACCTGCCCTGGAAGGGTGAAGTGAGTACTGAGGAGATCGCTCAGAAACCGTTTAATTTCTCCTACTTCACTGTAGTTTTTTCTGTGCAATAAATGTATATTTAAACTGTTTGGTTCTAGTAAAACTCAGCTGTGGAATTAACAAACATGCTCTTGTGTCTTTTGGGTGTCTCGTCGTGGAAGGGTGGAAGCAAATCCACCTCTTACTGTGCCAGGCAATTTTGATAGCACAAATCCAAGCACTTATATATGAGTGAGGTCTTGAGAAATCACTGACTTGGACATACTAATCATATCAGTAAAGAGAGGGAGGCCTCTGAGTGCAGGAGGGACCATTTCCATCATGGATAGTTTTAATGAAAATGGGTTTTTTAAGTCTTATGTTAACCTATTTTTTGTTTAAAAAATGAAAACGGGGAAATGAAAAAATTTTTGAAAAATTGAAATTTATAGTTTTGACCAGTGGCAGAAAATGTAATAAGGTTTTGCTTTGGTTTGGTGTTTGGTGTTTTATTTATATATTTATGTGCAAATTAACAGCTTTTGGAATTATGAGAAATAGGAGAGGAAAAAGGAAAATCTTTTGTACTTTTAGACCAGCGGCATGAATGCAGAATTGGATGCTTTGCTAGGCTTCTAGCTGTGTTTTAAGTAAAGAGAATTTTTCTAGTTTTTCAGGCTGAGAGAAGTTGGGAGCAATTTGCTGTATGATACGGAATACAGTGAATCAGCATTCGCAATGGCAGCTATTTATAGTTACTCTATTTTTATTCAAAGCAAAACAATAGCACTGAATTTCAGGCAGTTGGACCAGACACTCAGGAAGGTTTCTCTGGAAGCTGAGGGGAAAATAATCTCATCTTGCTGGATCTTGAGGGCTGAGCTCGTGAGCTCCGCCGGCATCTCCATTTCAGTGCCGTCCTCCGAAGGTGAAATCCGGGGCTGTGCTGGGGAGCTGCAGGAGCAGATGCCTCTAAAATGTGGTTTTCACCCACTGTTCAGGGGCTATCAGCATTCCTTGTATTTTCTCTTTGAAGGACTGAGCAATGTAATTAATGCCTGTTAATTTTAACCGTCTCTTCCAGGTTTTCTGTGTCTGCTCCACGTCCTCCTGCTGCAGCCAACGTGGATCCGAATGCCGTGGCTACAAAGGCTTGTCACTGTCTCATGCTGGGTCCCTCACATCCAAGAGCTACTTGGCAGTTTCCAAGGCAACCACCTGTGGAATAATTAAAAAGGATGAAGTGTTAGCGTGCCAGATATAAGGAATTCTTGCCTGGAGAGAGCGTTTCACTTTCTTCCGTCTTGAAGAGTCAAAACGTGCTTCTGCCAACGAAGTTAAGGTAGTACAATTAAAAAGTAATGGTTTATTTTCTGGAAGTTTTGAGGTGGAGCAACAAGCCTGATACGGCTGTATGTTACACAGAAATGACTGTGGTTCCTTCTGGGTTAATATTTTGGGTAGATTTAAATGGAAAATGCACGAGAAAGGTGGTGATGGGAAGGCAGTAATCAGCATTTTGTATTAGCAAAACAGTTGCATGGACTGTTTTGCACTTCATGCCGTCTTCCCTCGGATGATTTTAAGCTGGGAAGGACTAAAATGGAGCATACATTAGTTGGAGCATAAATATAGGAAGTGCAGCCTTCATGCCAAGTACACTGAGATTTCTTTGGCATTCAGTGCAGTGATAGATATAAAAGGAATCTAGGAGTGGGCTCACTGCAAAATGACAGTCGGAATCAAGGCTTGATCTTTATCCCAGAGCTTAAAGGGTGGGCAGTGACTAAGTCCATGCTGAACCAAACTGATAATCAGGTTTAGCTGCTTCAGTGAAGCACAGCTAAAACCATTTTGAAGTCACATATTCCCAGATTCAGAGCTGAAATTGCACAGTGGGAAAAAAACCCAAATATTAAGCAAAAGAAGCCTGTCAGAATAACAAAAAATGGGAAATTCGGTTCTGAAAGTTTGAAATGTTGCTTCAGAAGTTGATGGCAAAGGTGTTAGACTTCAGATAACTGGAAAAGTTCTTCTCCAAGTATTATATGTTGCTGGATGTATTTGCTCATTATATCTTCCTTCTCTGCCAGTCATTCAAATATAGTTGAATAGAAAAATATTATTCATTTCTGACAATGGAGTTAAATGGAGAAAAACCACATTCCCATTCTTCCCATAGTCCAAATAACTGCTCAGTTAAGTCTGGTTACCTTGCCTGATGCTCTTGTACAGTTAATTTTAGGCGTGATGCTTTTGTGTAATTTATTTTAAGGAAAAAAAAAAAAAAAGAGTCCTAAATTTTGAAGTAGAAATATTTGGGATGCCATCTGGGCTTTACATAATAAATTTTTCCTGCCAAAATGTTTGTGGGATTCTGTTGGGATGTGGATGGATGGGATTTCACATTCCATCCCTTTCCACAGCACAAGAAGATCATTGTTTTTTAGATATGGTGGATCCAAGAAGAAATAAGAATTGTGTGGTGGCAGCTCTGTGATCCGAGGGAATACAAATAGAATATATCCAGTAAAGACTCTCACCTTTTACAGATGTTACCTAATTTCAACAGCAAATATTTGCAGGTACCAGCTGAGTACAGCTGCAGTTTTCCACCCTAATACTTGATTTCCTGTCCATTGGTTGGTTGTCACCACATCCTAAATGCCAAAATGGTTTTCTTTCTGCAGTAATTCCTCAGCCTGTTAATTCCTTTCAGTATGGAGCTGAGGAAAGTGGTTTTTTCAGGCAAATGCTGTTTTCACATGTGGAAGGAGTGTGCTGGCAAAGTGTCTGCACCAAGCACAGTGGGGAGGATACAGAACTGAGACACTCTAGGGTAGAATGAAGGTGTGTGTGGATTCAGATCCTTGATCTTTCCAATCAGCATCAGTAACTCTCAGAGGTGGGATTGGCACTTGGGAAAGAGCACACGGGTGTGTTTGTGTGAGCCTGATGTAGTAATGCAGGAGTGTACACAGAGGAGTTCCAGCTTGGATGCTTCTACAAAACATCCCAAACACATACAAATACCTCCATTTTTCTCTTTTATCTCAAATGCTGTGGGTGAGGCTTTTCTCATGAAGCTTAAATGTCCAGGTGCTGCTGAAGCCACAGGGAACAGCAGGTGTGATGAACAGCTTCCTGACAGTTCCTACTCCAGACCCCCTTGAAGGGGATGACTTGTCTCTAAAAAGGTGTCTGTAGAAATGAATCCATCTTTTCCATGGATAGGTCTGCCTGGATTTAGATGATTTAGCCCAGGTGGCAAACCTTCCAGGAACTTCAAGTGTGCAATTACATATATTTGTATATAAAATTAATTGGTCTATGCTTGTTTCTCCATATTCCATTCCTATTCCAGACTTTCCAGAGCTGAGTGGAGTTGCAGTTATCACTGGTACAACCTCCTTACTCATCCTTCTCTTCCCAACTCGGACATTTGACCCTGTCAGTTTTCCCAGCCTTTATCTGCAAGCCTGTGCTTCAGTGTCAAGGGTGGTGAAGAGCCCCACAGAGTTTGTTAACATAGTTTGTAAGAGAAATGAAAACAGCCATGCTAAATTTAGGCAGCTGTGCTGTGTGAAAGAAAATACAGTAACAGGCAAAATTGATTTCTGATGTTTTTTATGTAGGTTACGTTCTAACAGTCTTTATCCTTGGGAAGTTTTACAAGACTGAAGGGAGGGAGTAGGTGGTTTGAGGCAGTGATTTGTTCAATAATTTTAATCTCTTAAAGTGATTCAGTACCTGTTGACACAGAAGTTGTTTCTGTAGCCTTGGCTATTAAGAATTAGTGCTGTATGCACTCAGAAAAGTAAAGTTTTCTTTTGAATTCCCTTTCTGTGGCAGATTTGTTTTGCTCCATATTGGAGTAACTTGGTGTCTTTTTGAGAGGAAAAAAATGGGAAATAGTGTTATGGTAAGTCTTTCAAAGATTATTTTGATAGAGTGGTTAATATTTTCCTATTTTTATACCATCAGGTCAACTGTATCAAGAGTCAGTTACAGTGTGGTAGTCTAAAAATGTCATTAAAATACCCATTAATTTTGTTAAATGAATTAGGGCTGTTTCCTGGAATAGGTAGGACTTTTCATCTTGTTGCTTGGAAATCCAGGTGATTTTTGAAAGGGAGTTTTTCCTTCTAGCAAGAGTGGAAATGTAGGGGAAATTCAGGGAAAGGGCAATAAGCTCAAGTCACCTTTGTGGAAAAGGGAACTCAAATAATGAATGGACCCTTTTTCTTAGGCTCGAGGGGGAAGGAACTGTTTTGCTGCACTTTGGTGGGTGGATGTTTATGGGGAGAAAAACTGCATTGCAACTTCAATGCAAACAGAATTATCTACAGGGTGACAGACTTTATGCTTAGGCACCTGATCCCTTTCACCCCTCCAGCTGCTCCTGCTGGGCATTTTGGATATGCTTTTCCAGCATAGTTCTGATGATTTTGCCTGATACACAACACATAAAGTCTAGGATAGAATGAAAAAACCAACTGTGACAACTTGCAGAGAGGTACTGAAGGTAGGAGGAGAAGAGCAGCTCTTGTCATTTACTGACCTAGAGCAGTGCTTTGTCTCCAGCAGTGGCCATAGGTGGATTATTGAGGAGCACAGCAGCAGAAAGGGAACAGGATCCTCCTTCTGCACACCCTTCACTGTCCTGACATCTGTAGGACATGGATTGACTGAGCTGGATGTTTTTTGGGGTTTTTTTTGCAGTGTTTACTGGACTTGGCTTTTGGAATTCATTAGTGAAAATTAGTGGGAAGTGTAAAGCTCTGTGGTTCTCCAGCTCAACTAACACATCAGCCTTTTCAGTGAAGAACCATCTTCTTTTGTTAACTTCTGAGCCTGAACTCCATTTAAAATCCACTTCTTGCACTGGAAAAGGCTTAAGTAATTCCTACATAACTATTTCCATTACAACCATGATTTTCTAGAGCTCTGCCTGCTGCAAGTGTTGAGTCAGTTCAAAGCCTGCTGACCTATATACATGAAATAGGACCACTTGCCCCACCTCCACTCATCCTACTTCACACTTAATTTCATTGACAGTCCTCATTAATTTCACTCCTGAATTTCATTTGGATGTCCAGTGAGTTACCTGCATGCATTTCTTTTTGGTATTTCCTACTTATTTACTGCCTTTGCTACTGTGAATAACTTTACTACCATCAGCAGATGTTGTCATCTCACTGTTGAGCCCTTTTCATGTCATTTATGAATTCATTGAACAGTGCTGGGAACAGATCCCAGCTCAGATCCCTGTGGAAAGAAGAGCTGAAATGGCACCAAGTCCTGCCAAAAGCAGAGTGGGTTTGCCCACTTCTGCACGTGGCACAGCTGAATTTGTGGTAAAATCCCTGTGCTGTTTGGGTACACTTGTAAATGTGGAGTCACTGTAAAACACTTTGTAGGAATGGATAATAATATGTCAGATATAATGTCATTCTTCATCACAGGATCATTAAGGTTGGAAAAGACCTCTAAGATCACCAAGTTCTGCCCTGAAGCACCACCATATTCATCACTAAACCATATCCTCAAGTGCCATGTCCATGCAGTTTTTGACTCCACCACTTCCCTGGGCAGAGTGTTCCAGTGCTGCCTATTTGTAATTTCACCTTTGAAATATAGGGTGGGCAAGGGATTCACCTTTTTGGATGACTGAGGATGATGTTTAGTGTTTAAAAGGTCCATGCCTGCTTTGTTCACAGCATTTTTCATCTTCTGAGTTTTTAGTCTCAAAACCAACTTGGTTGGAACCTGCTGGTTTGTCACTCTCTGCATTGCCAGTAGATATTGAATAAGGGAAATTAGGTAACAGAATCAGTCTCCACATTCATAAATACATGCTTGGTAAGATTAGGTGTAGGAAATTGCCTGAGCAGTAGAACTGCTACTTGCTCTTTTTCTCCAACATTAATGTAGAGAACATCTAATGTTTGTAAAACTGGGCCAGACTTAAAGGATCTGTAGCATGAAATAACTTTCCCAGTGGTGTCTTGCAGCTACAGCTTTGGGAAGCAGAGTTGAGGACACTGAAGTGCTGCACGAGTGCAGTGTCCCAATGTCCCACTGCTGCTTCCTCTCACTGCCTCTGTTCATTCCTAATTACTCCTGAAATTTTGTTTGCTTTTTCACTGCTCCTGTTGTCAACCGCTGTGAAAACTGTATTTTCACAAAGCTATCTGCAGTGACTTCAAGGTCTCTCCTAATCAGGAAAAAAGCTAATTTAGAACCCCTCATTTTCAGTGTGTAGTTGGCTGCTTTTTTCTATTTACAGGGCCTTAGAATTAATCTATTTGAATTTCATCTTCTGTTTTCTCCCCCAGTCAC